GTTAATATCCCAAATGTGAGACAAGTAATACATATTGGTGCACCCAGAAGTCTGGAGGCATATTTTCAAGAAGTTGGTAGGGCAGGTAGAGACGGCAAACCTGCCAAGGCTATGTTGTACTACAATGGAAATGACATTGCCAGAAATAAGCCTGGAATGACAGATGAAATGAGAGAGTTTTGTCTAAATGAATCGACATGCTTGCGGAAGGCTATACTGGAGCATATGGGCTCTCCTGTGACTGTTACCAGAAATCCAAAAATATGCTGCAGTAATTGTCTAAAAAAGTTAAAATAGTATCATACAATTATCCCAATTTTGACTTTTTCAGACATTGAATTGCTACAYCATATAACTGACAAGTTAACTATTGAAGTAGCTAGATTTTCTACTGGAGACAGTGTTATTTTTTAAATCATGATGATTTTGATTTTCATTTAAACCTTTACAGGTTTATCACTGTTCTCATAATAGTGCCAAATAATATGACCAATATCAACCAATAGTACATGAGGGTTGCTTGTATAAGATGCTTAATCATGACTGTAACTATAAACAGGGGAAGTCTACAGAACTGCAGACTATGATTTGCTTATCCAATATAAGCTCTATAATAGTCTTTGTACATGCAGATATAAAATACAAATGTGCAAACTCAGTTTTTGAATTATGTTTTGAAGTTGCCCTGACCATAGTTAATATCTATTAACTATGCCCTGCTGACCTCTGAACATGAAAACTTTTAAATATAAGAATAATTTGCACACAGATAGACTTTAGTTCAGAAAAGTAAAATTTTATTGATACTGATTTAAGCTTTTTAAAGTAAGRTTAACAACTGTTTTAAGATATGATATAAATATAATAATAAAGATTTTATTTAACACGTAATTATAGTTAAGTATACAATGCCAATAAACTTGTGTATTTTAAGGCAATTCCTTTGTTTTCTATTGTCAATCAACACAATTTAGTAGTAATTAGTAATATTTGTTTCACGGATTAAGTGCGTTAACACTCTATGTACAAAACCATTAAAACACTATTTTTACACTAGAGTACAAACACTAAAACTGTGCAACATAAATACCACTAAATACTGTGTTATGCTAATTCTATTGTTTAATTAA